GGGGGGGAGTGACAATACAAGTACAAGCACAGTCGTCAAAAGTGAATGCATCAAGCAGCAGCCTACCTGTGTGGTGAATGCTGAAAGGTGAGATGCTTGCCCTCCGCAAGACTTCTAGAATGGTCGCCTCTAAATACGGCAGCTGACCACAGTCCTTGAATTCTGGTCTGCGGTCAAGGCCGATTGAGTCTTTCATTTCCTGGAAACAGCGTTCTTGTACCTCTGGGTGGTGCAGTAAGTAGAGTATCGCCCAAGACAGAGAGATGCTGGTTGTGTCTATTGCAGCGATCAGGAGAGTGAACACAATTGCCACCAGGCTGTCTTCTGCAGGTATTGACAAAGGACTTTATATTACATACCTGTAAAAATGATAATAATGATAATTTTTGAAAATAGAAAAGGGAAAAATAATGTTTTAAGAAAGTAATAATAATAATAATAATAATAATAACAACAACAACAACAACAACAACAACAACAATAACAATAATATCATTATCATCATCATCATCATCATCATCATCATCATCATCATCATCATCATCATCATCATTGTAGATAACAAGGAATAAAAAAAGGGTATGAGACTTAGTAGACTTTTCAAATTTAATAAGTTCGACGTTTCGCCCGGTAAAGGGCTTCTTCAGGAACATGTAGAAAAAGCGAGACTGCGGTCGGACCTTCATTGGAGCTTAAAGTTAAAAATGGTATAAAAACTTTGTACATGAAGAGCTCAGCCCATGTTGCCGAAGATGCGGCCATGAAAAGGAGGATTCCAAACATATGTTTGAATGTCCAGGAACAATGGCAATTCGAATGGAGTTATTTGGACGAGTGGAGGTGCCGCTAAGCATAATTGACAAAGAAGCCGAAAAAGAGCCTCGCTCTCGCTCGAAGATTTCTTCGTGGAGTCCGCCAGGCCCATTAAGGAAACCAAAAAAAATCATCATCATCATCATCATCATCATCATCATCATCATCATCATCATCATCATATGAACAACAACAATAACCACAACAATAACCGCAACAACAACAACTACATCAACAAAAACAAAAACAAAAACTACAGCAGCAGCAGCAGCAGCAGCAACGACAGCAATGACAATAACAACAGCAACAATAACAACAAAAAACAGCATTAATAACCACCACCCCCAACAACAACAAGAGGATGAAGAGGAAGGAAAGAAAAAATAGGAAGAGATGCTTTACTGCAGTTAGGAGGATGAGGGGGAGAGGGAGAGAAGGAGGAAGAGGCATAAGAGGGATGGTTGAGTAATAGCATTGTATAACTGCTTGACCAGTTGGGTCCACCAAGATTGTAGTTAGTAGGTCGTCAAACGTGAAAAAGAAAATAAATGCAGCTTCTTCAATCTTCCTCTACTCATATAGAAAATACATGTATAATAATTAAAACAAAAAACCAACGTGAGCACAAAACTCAGCATTTGGGATTTATTTCCTCTGGTATAACCCTGACTGTCGTTTGGTTTAACCGGTAGCTACCCACCCACCCATCCTATTTTCTGTTCGAGAACACAGTATGTTGATTAGCACGGTACATCGCTTCTTGTATTAACTAAATAAAGCTGAAAGTGGCTTATAAAATAAAACTACAATAGATTCAAAACAAAGTAACATGAAATTCAATCTGCTTGGTTGATGTCCTTCTTCTGTCCATCCACTGTGTGTAGTGGTGGGCCCTTCACCGTCGCGTCGCAAGCACAATGCGTGAGTTCGATTCCTGTGTGGAATGGGTTTATTTATTGAATATCTCCGTCTTAGATCTGCTGGGAAATTGTTTGCCTCTAAGCCCGGGTTGGTTGTGAAAGGCAAAGTCAAAGCAGCCAGTCTCCTAAATTATCTAACTTTTATCAGGGTGGATTGGGGGGGGGGGGAGGGGGGCGATTTTAAAAACGTCTACAATTGCAATCATAACTGTTGTGTCTTGTTTCCAGAGCTATCCTTTAATTAATGTATGGCAGAGAAAGTTCTTCTTTACGTGGTTGAGCTGGATTTCTTAAATGTCTTTACTTGTGCATTTTAAACTTGACTGTCAGTAATCATGTCATGAATGTAAAGCGTTCAGAGCTTATGCCTGTATGGAATAGATAGACCGCTATATTATAATACAATCCATGATGATGATGATTATAATTTTTGTTATTATTGTTGTTGTAGCATAATTATACAACCCACGGTTGGGATAGACCATGGGATAGACCGCTATATATAAGTGCAATCCATGATGATGATTATTGTTGTTATTATTATTATTGTTATAGTTGTTGTTGTTGTTGCTGCTGCTGCTGCTGCTGTTGTTGTTGTTGTTGTTGTTGTTGTTGTTGTTATTGTTGTGCTGCTGCTGCTGTTGTTGTTGTTGTTGTTGTTGTCACCCACCATTGAGCTCAGGGTTTTTCCCGTTTTGCATGTCTTGGTTTTTGAGGAAGTACGTGATGAAGTCCTCTGGCTCCTCCGTGCAGCTCTGCTCTCTGCGGGACGCCACCTGTCGACGGATCAGATGGCTGTCCACGTACTCGCGGACCTCCAGGGTTTTCTTTAGCCTACGGTAGAAATATATATATATATATATAAAAAGACCATGGGTTGTACAATTATGCTACTACAAATACTGCTACTGCTGCTGCTACTACTGCTCTACTAGATCTACTGCTATTGCTGCTGCTACTACTGCTAGATCTACTGCTACTGCTGCTACTGCTGCTACTACTACTACTACTACTACTACTACTACTACTACTACTACTACTACTAAAACTACTGCAACTACTACTACTACTACTACTACTACTACTACTACTACTACTACTACTACTACTACTACTACTACTACTACTACTACTACTACTGCAATAACAACGTCAACAACAACAACAACAACAACAAACTATTACTACTCTACAACACAACAACAACAATCGCTACTACGAAATAAATAACAATAACAACACTAACAACAACCATTACTACTACGACACAACAAAGACATCAATAAAAACGACGACAACTACGACAACAACAACTATCCTACTTCAACACATATACAATGAAAAAGACGACGACGTCAACAACTATTATTACAACTACTACAACACAACAACGACATTAATAACAACCATGAAAACTTGAACGATAACAACAACTACTGCTACAACAGCACAAATACGTCCATAAAGACGACGAGACGAGGACAATAACTATTAAATCAAGGGCGAATTCAACACAAGTAAGAGGAAAAAGAACATGGTTATTTCAGTTTCTTTATTTATCTTTTTGTTTGTTTATTTATTATTGTTTATTTATTTATTCATTTATTGAAAATGTTTTTATTTGCAAGTTAGTTTTCCAAAGTCAGGAGAAAATACTCCGGTCCCTAGCTGTTACCTAAGAAGTTGGGACTTATTTCATGATTACATCCCTTTGGTAAAATCGGCAGCGCTTAATTGGACCGGGCATCTCTCTCTATATCTATAGTTAAAGTCTAGAGTCCATGTCTGATCTGACATGAACCGATGCCTTTATCACAGATTTATTGTCAGTTCAGTGGTTAGTGAGCTCAGAGTTAGTGCTTTTTGTCAAGCATTGCCATTAGTTGGTCATCGTGGTTTGTCATTGAGGCTGAAGTGGGTTCTTCACGGGCCACTTTAAAATAAAAATAAAAATTTTTTTTAACTTCACCTCAGGGGGTTGCATTGTGGCGCTTTGAAATAATATATCCATCGTAATACTGTTTATTTTGCGCTGCTGACGGAATACATAAATCATTTATGCGTGCCGTTGTATCCAATGTTTTCTCTAGAGGCTGGATACGCAAAAGGTATTAGCCTACTTTTCTTCTTTAACAAAAAAAACCTTACTTTTTTCTATCAGCGCTTTGTTTCTGAAACATATAACTATCGTTCTTTCTTTCTTTTTTTTTTCAAAGATAAATAGCACACAAAATGGCGCATACCCAAAAAGGTCCCCCGGCAAGTATCTGAGGAAGGGGAGAAAGTCCAGGGCGATCATCCCCTCGAGAAGGCAGGCCTGTTCCGCCACTAGCTTCATACAGGACTCGGTCTCTGGGTCCTCAAATCTGTGCAATGATACGCGAAACACGTGAATAAATAAGTAAACGAATCAGTATTATTTTCTTACTCTTGCCTTCCTCCTCCTCTTCCTCTTCCAACGAATCAGTATTATGTTCTTACTTTCGCCTTCCTCCTCCTCTTCCTCTTCCTCCTCCTCTTCATCTTCGTTCCTCCTCTTCTCTTCCTCCTCTTCTTCCTCCTCTTCCTATTCTTCTTCTTTCACCCGCTCCTTCTCGTCATCCTCCTCCTCCTCCTCCTCCTCCTCCT